GACTGAATGAGTTATCATTGCTGGCTTAGAAATAAAATTTGGTGAGAACTACCTTTAAGACGTTTTTCCTACGCTAATTTCATTTACCACGCAATGAAGTTATCAGAAACCGTTATCATCGCTAAATATCTTTGCCGACGCAAGCGATTTTGTACGGAAACGATTTGTCATACAAATTATCAAGTCATCTTAACAAAAGTACAATAAAAATGATAAATACATTAAAGACTCACACCATTTACAAATCCTTGTATCTGCTGCAAATATGGCTTTGAATACCACATATTATTGAGAAGCAAAAGCACCGAGATACGCCAATATTTACAATTTGTGGTTTGTACTGTGTTTACTAAAAGTGACGTCATCAACAAGTAAGACATAAGCAGACAGTAAGACATCTGTTCAAATGTAACTTACATATGCATGTAGAAGTATCGTAGTTGTATTTTGAATAGAATGGAGAGAAGTTATAGATGGGTACATCACATGATGCACTAGGATATGAAGACAAAGGTTGTAAAATAGATGTTGTACTTGTTGCTCGTGTCACTCTTTTTGTCGGTCGTGATGGTTTCGCTGTTTGCTTAGGTATAGTCGTCGTTGTTGTGCTTTCTTCCTGGATTACCTTATTTGAGATTAGAATTTTTGATAACACAATTTTCTTTCTTATTTATATACTTCTGAATTTTTCTTCGTGGTCTGTCGTACTTATTATGATATCCATCTTTCTGCTTTAGGTCGGAATGTGAAAAAAAGATAGGGAGAGGGCAATCGAGAGATTGACATTTCACTGACGAGACAAGCGGTGAGTTATTCTATCAAGGAACAGAGAAAAAATTATTGTTTATGCCTAAGAACCGCTAAGAGATCGCGTAAGTACGTGACCGGAATCACGTGGCGTGAATAAGGAGATTATGTGTAACCTCAGCGGTAATGCATTAGATCCGTTATTCACCCAAATTGATTTCGCAGTGCTTGTTCGGCCATTAGTCATAGTCTTCTGGGGTTGGTCGCAATATGATATGAAGACAGGGAAACATATGTGAAGTCAAGAAGAGAACAGAAATTGATAGAATTGGAGAATACAAGTGGTTTCATAGTGAAGTATGTGCCAATTGGTTTTAGGAATCCCTGCGCAACTAAGCTTCTATCTACGAAAAATCTGTAGCAACGGTAATAGAAGTAGCAAATTTATTAAATTATAATTAGCGTTGCTAGAGAAT